AGAGAGTTAGGGTCTTGCTCTGGATTAGGCTTTGGTTTAAGGGAATGGCGTGGCTGGTTTCATTGTCTATCCGCACCACTAAAACTTTCTCCATGTCAGCAGGGAGGCTGTTTTGCTTTCTTATCATTCATGTGTTCACTGGAGTAGCACTTTAAATTTCCTTCAAGAACTTTTCCTTTGCATTCACAACTTGGCTAACTGCTTGGGGCAAGAGGCCTGGCATTTTGGCTTATCTGGGCTTTCAACATGCCTTCTTCACTGAGCTTAATCATTTCTAGCTTTTAATTTAAAGTGAGAGATGTGTGACTCTTCTTTTCACTTGAATACTTAAGGGCCATTGTAGGTTATTAACTGGCCTAATTTCCTTATTGTTGTGTCTCAGGGAGTATGGTTTCCTGAGGAGACGGAACAATATGAGAGAATGGCCGGTCAGTGGAGCAATCAGAATGCACACATTTATCGATTAATTTCGTCACCTTGTGTGGGTGCAGTGCATGGTGCCCCAAAACAATTACAATAGTAACATCAAAGATCACTTAGCACAGATCACCATAACAGATACAATAATAATGAAAAAGCTTGGAACATTGCAAAAATTACCAAAATGTGACTCAGAGACACAAAGTGAACATATGCTGTTGGAAAAATGGCACCAATAGATTTGCTGGATGCAGGGTTGCCATAAAACTTTGTAGGAAGCGTAGTGTCTGCGCGGTGCAATAAAGAGACCCACAGTAAAACGAGGCGTGCCTGTATCTGGATGCACATGTGTTCCGTTGTGCAGTCTGGGGGGCTGGCAAAACAGAGGAACTTCACTAGCCACAGTGGTGGAGACGTGGTGCGGGCAGATTCTGTGAATGGTGTCTGCTGTCTGTTTCATTTGGTGTGTACTGCTGCCTCCCAAAGGCCCTTGTCAACCACCAACAGGAGCCAGGGCAACAGGGACCACCCCTTCCCAGCCATTCCTTATCTTTGTACCCAGATGACACCTGAGTCCACCTTGAGCTTTAAGGTTAAAGAACAAAAGCTTAATTCCCCGTCTCCTTTTCATGTTGTATGAGGAGTCCGGTCCCACCCGCCTGCAAAACAGCCAAGTTGCCTGTTAATTCCTGGAGCTTTTGTAGTCTCAAGGTATCTTCTGTTTCTGCAGATGGGCTTGAAATTCAAACTGCGACCGACTCTCCATCCCATACATTCCATCTCCTCGTGGCTGTGCTCTTTTCTTTGGTTCAGGTCATATCATTCCAAATATAAAAATAGGCAACTTTTCTGGGATCCCTTGAATAAAATGAGACCTTTACAAAGCATCTTGACAACGCATCTGTCTATAGCATTTGTGCTAAATGTTTGAGAAGGTGGGCTTTGATGTGGCCACAGTTCTCACTCTCCTGAAGAGAGTCTCTCAGCCCTGACTCTGCACCCAGAGACGTCTTTGCAAACCATCACCCGGCCGAACTCACTCCACTTCATTATGCAGAAGTGTTCAGCTCCCCAGAGCTTAGAGCTACCAGTTTGGGAGCCAGGCCCTGGGGGGAGGTGGCCCCAACTTCAAATCTCCCTGTCCTTGGTTCCTTGTGTTTAAACGGGGTGGAGGATGTAAAAGAGAAGCAAATTACTTCAGCTCTTTAAATTTTTGTTTCTTCATCAATATGGGATGATGATAATAATAATAATAATATGGAATGATAGGTAGCATGAGGCCTGGTGCTTGCTGAAGGATCAGAACATGTCAGTGGCTGCTGCTGTTCTTTGCCTCAGTGCTCCCCACTGCGTGCCACAAGGGGCAGCAGGGTAGCAGTGTGGCTCCCTGAACAGTGAAGTCCTCCATTAGGTGCTCCCAACTACACAAGAGAACGGAGGGGGCCTTGGACCTTTCCACCATCCCCTTCCCTTTATCTGGCCGTTGGTATCCCAAAAAAGAAGTGGGATACTAATTTGTGTCCCCACTGATGTAAATGTCACTGCCGTACAAGGCAGAGCAGGTGCAAGAGGCTTGGATCTAAATACCATTTTTCTCCTCCCTGGGTTACCCAAGCTCTTCCCCCCGAATCCATTCAAGTCACCTCAGCAAACACCCAAGACCTAGGGTAAGATGTGCTGCTGATGGCACAGAAGTGACACAGTCCAAAATAAGACCCCATCCACACTCTCAGGCTGTGAATGACAGCTGGGCTCCCAGGGCAGACTGACATGCTCCCTCCTTTCTCAGGGCAAGTGCATGGAGAACAGTCGGGAGGGGCTCTGGGAAGGGCGCTAGACTCCATGACTCAGGCGTGAGCATGCGGGGTTAGGAATTAAAGGCCGAACAAGCGAAAATCCTCTATCTCAATAAGAATATAATTTGGAGGGTGATAGTCAAATAGAAAAATCCCTTAGTTGCTGCTGCCGACGTATTCCCCTGTTGCCGTGGCACCCCAGCTCTGCGCGGTTCTGTTCAAACGCGTGGCCTGCGTCAGCCGTGGCAGCGGAGGGCTGGGACTGTGCTCTGGGAGGGTCTGTGCTCATCCTGACTTCTGCATCAGCCTGGCGCCGTCCCCCACTCCCCGCCCGCAAGCGCTCTCCACCTCCCCGCGGCCTCTGCTCCTCTCTCTTCCTACCCCTTGAACTCACCATGGCTAAGCTGATGTTCCTCACACACGCCTTTGTGTTGTAAAATGTGGGTTTTGTCATTATTTAGGTATGGCAGGGCCACACATCAGGAGATGACTGCTGTTGAAAGGATAGTTTGTCTGTCCCTCATGGTTCCCAAGAAGAGGGGGCACACCACACCATGGGGGCCACACCGCGAAGCTCCGGGCCTGTCAGGAGGCAGAGGGAGGGGGCAGCTCTGGGCGAAGGCCTTTCCCGAGGCTGCCCTGAAGGAACGGGTGAGGCAGGGTGGGCAGGCTCGGGGTTGGCTAGTTAGGGTGATTTTGGGACCCCAGGGCCTAGGTGCTGTTCTCAGTTATCTAGTACTGGGACCTGGGGCAACTAGGGCAGGTGGACAGTGACCCCAGAATGTGAGAGCTCGGTGAGAGGTGGATGGGAAGCGCGTTCTGCATTAGCTGGTTTGCTCATGAAAGGTGCGTCCCGGGAGAGTTGTTTGCTACCCCTAGGAACTGGCCAGCACTGGGAGGGGCCGTCCCTCCGGGGTCAGCCAGGCGTCAGATGCCACAGCATCAGAACACAGGAATAAAAGACACCACCGTTGATACACTTGGTTTTGTCTCTTTGCTCCACAGAAACTGCCAGGGCTTTCATCGGCTGTGGAGCTGGCTTTCGAGTCTCTCCTCCTTCTGGTCACTGCAGTGGGGTCCAGCCTCGCCCACCACTCCACACTCTTTCCCCCGTGAGCCCCACATGCCAGCAAAACTGCACTCCTCGGGGTTCCCATCAGTCCTGTAAAAGCAACACCCTCGCGTGGTTGTTGATGTCCCCTCCCTGCTGTCTGGCTGACCAAGGCCTATCTTTAGTGTGTCCTGCTCTGTGAGAATCTTCAATTGGTGGCGGGGAGGGTGGGGAGGCCCCCTCAGGAAATACTAGACACACAGCTCTGCCCATTCTCGTTTCTTCTCATTTACTCAAATGCTGCCTCTCCAAGTTGCAGATAAAACCTGTCTAAAGACTCCCCAGCCCATTTGGATTGTTTTTGCCTTTCCTTCTCCTCTGAGTTTTAGGGGCTTACAGCTTAAAAACTTGCAGTTTATAGTCATGTCGTATGTATTGCTTTTGTCACCCTCTCTCACGGTGAGCACCCGAAGACGAGTCCGTTTGCTGTGTGTCATTCCATAAGCCTCTGTGCTCCAGCCTCACTGAGAGCAGTTAATAAATAGGCATTGTTGATGAGCAACTCTGAGAATTGCCCTGCGAGGCAGCGAAAGGAATGCTGGGGGCGCTGTCCAGAAGACCTGTGTCTAGGATGGATGCTCCGACTGATTCGCCATCCTCCTCTCACCACCCCCAGAGCGAGGGCGTTTGCAGACGTGATCTTACAGTGTGTAAGCTCAGAAAGCTCCTTGTGTGGAGTGGCAGTGATTTGTTCCTTCCCTGGTTGGACAGTTTACTTTCTAACCTTTGATTTTTCAGCTTAGATCCTTCTACCTTGGGGCTCAGAATGTCCTGTGAATATCACCAGATTTTCAGACTTGGTCATTTTAGAATTGAATAAGGATTACCAAAAAACTTTAGAATTTCCTTTTTCCTGTGCCCAGCTCCGATTTGCCTCTTTCCTCCTTTCTTCTCACTGAATGAACTGCTTTGCATAAACAACAACAAAAAAAGTAGGATCATCTGCATTGATATTTGCTTGTTTTGTGGACAAGCGTGTGGGCATCACCGTGGCCCTTCTCCTACCTCCCACATCCTGCTTTGGCTTCGGGCTCCCAGTTTCCCCGGACTAATGTGCCATCATCTCCAAGTGATTTTATGGCCCAGTTAAGGCAGGAATGGCCATGGCAAATTGGAAGAAAAAGAAAATATGATGGATAGGGCAGAGAGACCTCCCACTGGCCATCGCGTCTCCAGCGGGTGTTTATGGAAGGCTTGTGTTTATGGACCCCACAGAGGGCAGAGCAAGAGGAAAGTGGCTTAAATTGCAGAGAGAGTTTGCAGCTGGAGCTCATCGGTTGTGGGTGGTAAAGCACCTGTCCTCCTGGTGGGAGATAGAGGATCTAGGAGAATAGTTAAGTTCCCTGCTAACAACCTGATTTTACCATGGCTTTTTTTTTTTTTTTGCCTTTATTTCTATGTGTTACCTCTCAAATGCCAATTTGTGTGGTCTGCTGCTTACCCGAGTAAAACAGCCTCTGTAAACATGACACACATTGATTCATATACCTATTAAAGTTGGTATTTGCACCCATAGGAAAGCAACCACTGCTTCCTACGCTGCGTAAAAACCCATTTCTCCTGGATATTCACTCTGGAGCTTAGATTTCAACCTGCATTTGGCCAGATGTGGAGGAAATACACCTGTGGCTGAGATAAACTAATTTTCTTTCTTTTCTTTTTTCCCCTCCCAGGATTATACCTTAACCATGTATTTTCAACAATATTGGAGAGATAAAAGGCTCGCCTATTCTGGGATCCCTCTCAACCTCACGCTCGACAATCGAGTGGCTGACCAGCTATGGGTGCCCGACACATATTTCTTAAATGACAAAAAGTCATTTGTGCATGGAGTGACAGTGAAAAACCGCATGATCCGCCTTCACCCTGACGGGACCGTGCTGTACGGGCTCAGGTCTGTGTGCCCCTCCAGGGCCAGTCTTGCAGTTGCATGGTGCATTGGTGTTGAATTTTTGCTCGAGATGAATATAGCAGTGAGGCCACATCCTCAGGTTAATTAGGAAACATCCATGAAACACTTTGAGCTTTGAAGAAAAAAAAAATCTCATAAGCATAAGATTTGGGGCATTACTGTTACTATAAATAGTCACCAGGCAGTTAAAAAGCAGCCTCCTTTGGACTCATTGTGTATAATTGGGTTACCATGTCTAAGAACACAGATTCCCTCAGGAAGGGTTTCCCACATCCTAGCCCCAGAGGCCTGTAATTAATATTGCCCTGACATTGCAAAGGCTTTAATAAAGTTTTTCAGAGCTATTCACACAGTTGAAAAATGTCTGTTGTGTGGATTATAGTATATAGTCTCCACGGAGCTTTATTGAGATGATGCCACGAATGTTATGGGGATGACTAAGTGAGAGGCTTCCCAATGAGAACCATTTCTCTCCAGGTCTCATGATGTAGCCACTCAAATGAGGAAACCAAGCTGCCTTCCGGAGCCTGGAGGAAGAGGTCCTGGGCTTCCCTGGTTGCCCTAGAAACCACCAGACCTTTCTGTGGTGTTCCGTCACTGCTGGTGGTTAATTACTTTGAATATCACCTTGCTAAATGATGTTCTTAAAAACCTTCTCTTTTGTTGCTTTTTGCACTGATTTTTGTTTTGTTTTAGAATAGTAGTGTGTGTGTGTGTGTGTGTCTTTCTCAATCTCATGGTCTAAAAGTGCCCCTGAGGTCTTCGGTGGGACACATGTGGATAGCTTGAAGAAGACATTTATCTTAAAATGGTGTGAGTCCAGAGCCTTTGGACTAAGACTCCGGCAGCTCTAAGTGAAATCATAGTAGCATGTATTTAAATCCACACCACTATGACTTTTTTCATGCCTCAAGATGAGTAAAGGGAATTCTTTAACATTGCCTTAAATAGAAAATGTTGAGTGACCTTTTCACAGCCACAGTATATAGAGTAGAAGTTAGGATTTTAGCAAAATCAGATGTTTTTACCGGTTAAGTGGCACATGTCAACCAAGCCATGGTGTTACTTTAAAAAGAGTCTAGCCTGAAGTTTCTTTGGAAGGTTTCCAGCATTTTATGCTTCTGCCTGAAAATGAGTGATGTGGTTGTAAAGTTCTGGAGATTCTGACAAGTACATCAGCTGTACAGAAGATTATTCAGAAATCTTGAGTGTTTACCTGCCCCTCAGCCCCCACAAAAAAAATGAAGTAGAAAAAGCTGATATGTGGGTGATGTGTGTGTTCGTGTAGGGGGGGGACGTGGTGTGTGGTGTATGTTTGGTGTCTGTGGTGTGTGAGGGTGTGTGTGTGTGGTGTGCATGTGGGTGTCTTTTGTGTGTGTTGGGTTTGTTGTGTGATGTGTGTAATGTGTGTATGGTATTTGTGTAGTATATAGTGTGTATGGTGTGTGCATTCGTGTGTGTGTGGTATGTAGGTGTGGTATGTCACCTGTTTGTAATGTGCATGGCATGCATGTGTGTGCTGTGGTGTGTGGTGTGGTCGTGTGGTATATGTGTGTGTTATGTGCGTGTTGGGTTTGGTGTGTGTGGGGGACTGTGTGGTGTTTGTGTGTGGTGTGTGTGGTATGTCGAGGGGTGTGATGTGTGTGGTATGTGGGTATGTGGTATGTGTGTGGTATGTGGTATGTGTGTGGTGTGTGGGTATGTGGTATGTGTGTGGTGTGGGGGGGAGTGTGTGTTGTTTGTGTGTATGTGGTGTGGTCTGTGTGGTATGTGGACATGTGGTGTGTGGTGTGTGGCGTGTGGCGTGTGTGGTGTGTGTGTGTGTGGTGCGTGGGTGGTTGGGAGAGAGCAAAAAGAAGCAAGTATCAACAAAAATTAAGCTAGGACTTCTTGGCTGTTTAAACAAAACTTGTTTGGATTTTCTCCATTTATACTTTTGCATTCTTTATTTTCTCACCAGAAGTGGAGTATGTTAGTATGTCTCTGTATGTCTCTTGTTAAAAGCAAGGCATTTTAACTCTGTTAGAATAGAATTATATAACATGGATAAAATCGGTAATAAATTTCCAAACTGCCTTTGAAAGTGTTAGGTTTCAGGTAAGAGTAAGAGAAACCAAGGAAGTAAAAAATTATATCTTTAACTAACACTTGGCCCGTAAGTTCATCTGTAAAAGTTCAATAATAACGTGATAATAACCCATGGGAAACTTTTAATAATAAACTTTGTACAATAAACTAAAAAAACTCTCTTTAGTCAAATTTACATTCATTATGCCTCTCAAACAGCCTCTTAAATCAATAGATGAATTTCTAAATAATTAGCTGGTTTTTTCCAAATGTAGTCTCAATATGCTACTTAGATCTTTATTTAGAACCTCATAGTTCTTAAACGATTCTTCGGAGCTCTATGGACCTAGCCGAGCTGTCGTAAAGAAACTCCAGGCCACAGGCTGATCGCCGTATCCTGCATGTGCTTGGCAGCTACGCTGTGTCATGAACTCCTGAGAAGTGGGCTAATCTAGGAACTTCTGCCTTGATATTTAAAAACCACACATTGCTATGGAGATTAATTTGATCTTTTTGGCCAAAAAAGCACATTAATAATTCAAAGTACTGGTAACTGTATGAAACTCAAGTACAGACATAGTCTTTGCTATTCCATGTAAACCGAAGTCCTATTTATATGTTATGTAGATCTCATGGTCTTCGATAAAACATGAGGTGTTGAGTGCTCACAAGGGTCGCCACCCTCCATCCTCCCCATATGGCCCCAAAGCCCACCTTCCCCCTCCGTGTTTTTACTGCTGCACTTGACGTGGCAAGCCTGGAGTGGGCTGCGCGTGTAACTCCAACAGTACGTTTGCACTGTGTCCTTTGCGTAAGTCAGTACTGTGGCGTGGGCCCGCGGAAGCCTGGCACAGCTGGGAACACTGAAGTTGAGCCTCCTGTGCTGAGAGTTTGCAGAGAGTTGGGCTGTTGCTGTCTCCTGCTTGTGAGGTACTGCTGAGGAAGGTCCCACCCGACAGAGATGACTTTCTTACTGGCTGTGTGCTTGAGATACTCACCAGTTGAGCTGGCTGTTATCACCACACCTTACAAATTGAATTTTTCTCAGCCCTGGATGCTGGGGTTGGCCCTCACTTCGTCTACCCAGCACCAGCCTGCACTGGTAGGTCAGTCACCACTCCACTTCTCTGGGCTTCTTTTCTTATTCACGCCCAGCCAGCACAGTAACAGAATCAGTGAGGGCTTTTGCTTTATTCAGGGTAGATGAAGGCTTTTGGCTGCAGACGAACTGTCCATGACGTAGGTTTGTACGTCAGCTCAGCCTTATTCTGGGAAATCATTAATCCTTACCTCTGATGACTCTGCAAAAGTAGTCAATGACCACTCATGTAGATGCTTGAGAGTGATCACATTCTTGTAGTGATAAAAGGTTGTTTTAAATCATGAACCATATTCTCTGTGACTGTTGGGGCTCCCTGAGCTTGAAACGTAGGCTAACACTAGCTTGTAAGGACCAGCTCGAGCTCAGCTGAATAGGACAGTGAACTGAGCCCCTTGCCCAGGCTCAAGTCAGCATGCGACGGGTGAGAATGCTCTGGAAAGGACATGCGTACCATCCTAAAATAAAACATGAGTTCTTTGAAAATTTCCTTTGGGCAGCTAAACCTTTTAAGGAACTAGGAAGATTTTGGCTAAGAGACTCATGAGCGTCAGTCCTGTCCTGGTTACAGATTTTCTGTTTTTTTTTTTTTTCTTTCTTTCTTTTTGATGCTGCACTGAAGTTTTCTGCTATCTGAGAAGGTGGAGTCATTGTCCCTCTTCTCGACTTTGTTTTTCAGTCTCCTGGTCCTCCGCTGTCATTGAATGTCTCACCTTGCACCATTAAGCATAATTTCTAACATGATCTTTTCTTCATGCCATGCATTTTGTATTTTTGGACTATTTCTCTGATGCTAGGAATTAGTAAGAGGGGTCACAAAATAGTATTCAGTTTGTTACAAAAAGCACCTGCGATTCTGAAGTTGAGTCATCAAATAAAAGTAATCCCCCCCTATCAAATAGCTCAGATTGAGGGGCCGGGCACGGTGGCTCACGCCTGTAATCCTAGCTCTCTGGGAGGCCGAGGCGAGTGGATTGTTTGAGCTCAGGAGTTCGAAACCAGCCTGAGCAAGAGCGAGACCCTGTCTCTACTAAAAATAGAAAGAAATTAATTGGACAACTAAAAATATATAGAAAAAATTAGCCGGGCATGGTGGCACATGCCTGTAGTTCTAGCTATTCGGGAGGCTGAGGCAGGAGGATCGCCTGAGCCCAGGAGTTTGAGGTTGCTGTGAGCTAAGATGACGCCACGGCACTCTAGCCCGGACAACACAATGAGACTCTGTCTCAAAAAAAAAAAAAAAATAGCTCAGATTGTATAAACTGTGTATGGGTCATTGTGAAGACATAAATATGTAGTGAAATGTGGAAGCATATGTGGGAATGTTAACAGCAAATTCAGGATAATGGCTACCTCTGGAGAAGGAAAAGGGAATAAAAAAACAAAAAAAGTAACCCATATCTTGCCTGGGAAGCTTACCAGAAGATTCAAATTAAGTCATCTAATTTGATAAGGCTAGCATCTTGCATCTTATTCTGAAACTGTATTTTATACAGTGGTTCTGGTCTAATGCCTTTTCCCCCTAGGAAAGATGTAAACTCACAGAGGTAACAGGACCCACATGGTTTGAGCGCAGGTGTGCCTAACTCCAAAACCTTTCTTTTGTTACTATCTTCCAGTTACTTTCTTGTAACTAAATAGCATATTGTTAAATTGCTTTCCTGATAGGATTATGCCAATTCATACTCCCCCAGCAATAAAGTTAGCTTTAGGATTGTGATACCTGCTTTGGAATTTATCATTATTTAGTCCACTGTAAATCTATCCATTTTCATCATCTCTCAAGGCTGGTGAAAATCACCTGTCTCACTTTAAA